TAGATGCGGTAAATACGACTTTTAATCAATGGAACAAAATTTGGCATTTGAATGTGCTACCTAAGTGTCATACTCTTGTGTGGTGGGTGGCTAGGGAGGTACTCCCAACAGTTGACAATTTACGCCAAATGAGAGTGGATGTGGAGGCGGAATGTTGCATTTGCAGGCAAGGTGAGGAAACTATACACCATTTATTTGTTGATTGTCTGTATGCCAAAAGGTGTGGCATGAACTCCAGGTAGTGATTCCAGCTGGGCCTACAAGTTGGGGTGACTGGCTTTACCATGCATTGAATTTACAAGGGACTGATATGCCAGAATTGTTGGCGGTGGGGCTGTATATGTTGTGGACGGTGAGGAATGCTGCTATCTTTGAAGCCACTGTACTGTGCAATCACCGGCTGTCTTGGCCAAGATTGTGCAACGCAGTAGGACGGAATGGAGGGAGGTGGCGGAACGAAGGGGGGAGGCTAGTGGCACTACGTCGGCAGACTGCGACATATGGTTGTTGGCTACGGACCTCGGCTGGGGAATGGATGGCGGCGATAAGCGGACGTTTGGACGGGGTCAACGATGATCACATGGCGGAGGCTTTAGCTTGTAAAGAGGCACTTTCTTGGGTAAAGAACAAGGACCTTACGAACGTGCTCTTCCAATCAGATTGCCAAGTTCTTTGTACAAATTTATCACGTCTTTCATTTGTTTCTTACTTTGGTTTTGTTTATGATTCCAGTTGTGCTTTACTTAATGATTTAGGTTCTTCTCGTATCAGCTTTATTCGTCGGTCTGCGAACCGAATTTCTCATATTCTTGCAACAGATACTATTAACTCAACTGTTACTCGGGTGTGGGATGTTTACCCACCTGAGTCCATTGCTCATTTGATTGTTTAATGACATTTCGTTGGTTTTGGTTTTCAAAAAAAAAAAAAAAAAAAAGAGCTAACTGCTGATTGCCAAACAAAGACATTGCGAGGTAGTTTCTCACTTCAATTTGTTGTGTGATTTGAATACTCTTTTTATCAATAAATCCCCCAAATAGTTAATATGATTGACTTAATTATATATATATATTTTTTTTTATTTTTTTAAAACAATTATTATTATTATTATTATTATTATTATTATTATTATTATTATTATTATTATTATTATTATTATTATTTAATATATGTATACCCTTAGGTCATTTTACATGTTAATCTAAACATCTAATTTTTTCAAATATCTTTTTACCAACCGTTGATATAATTCGCTGGTTAAATCCGCTAACGTTAACCGCTAACTACTGATTGTCAAACAAGGACATTGCGAGATAGTTCTTACTTCAATTTCTTGTGTGATTTGAATACTCTCTTTGTCAACAAATTCCTCAAATAGTTAATATGATTGGCTTTATTAATTATATTTTTTAAATTTTTTCATGGTATTAATAAAATACTTGGTAAATAAATATATAGCATTATTTTGTATTATAACTTTGATATTTAATTTAAAAAAATAGTGCACAAAAAAGATAATAAACAATATAATAAATATAATAAATTGATGAATTTGAATGTAAAGAATTTTTACATTGGAGAAAAATAAAGACAATATAACTAATAAAATTATTTCTCTTAATTAATTTATTGATAATGAATAATTTTTTTTTTTAATAAAGACATTGTATGGACAATGTAGCGAATATAATCAATTGATGAATTTGAATGTAAAGAATTTTTATATTGGAGAAAAATAAAGAGAATATAACTTATGAAATTATTTATCTTATTTAATTTATTGATAATGAATAATTTTTTTGAATAAAGACATTGTAGACCGATAATTCTAAATTAAAGAAATGCATATGTATTATTTTTTGTTTTAGCTACTAAATTATTATCTAAAAACATAATAAGTGTGGATGATGGTTATACCCTTCATTTATGTCCGTTTTTTCCGTTAAGTTTTTTTTATACATTATGGTATAAAAGTTGTACTTTACAATATTTTGGACAAGCATACCCCTACCGTTATAACTTCTGTTATCTTTTCCACTATTGTTACCATGCACATACATCCATGTTAGGAATATATTGTAGAAGTTTTAATGAGCCAAATGTATTTTGTAGACCCCAATTTTATTTTATTTGAGTCAGTTCTGGTTCACCAAGTATAGTGCACCACTGCCATGAAGCCTACATGAAGTCTACGAGAAAGCAGCATTGAAAGAAGAATAAATGAAAGCGGGATCATAGCTTAACAGATTTATGAAGCATCAAGTCACCAAAGGTTGAGATGGACGAGATGGTAGAAGATTTGTTGAAGCATGCCTAATGTAAGATGATCTACAGTTCAATTCTCATTGGAAGTAATTTTGGTGTAAAGATGAATTGCTATCGTGAAGTAGCAATATCAGGAGATGATGTCATCATGATAGTAATATCAGGTGAAAGAACATTTTTTATCGTGATAGTTGAGAATTATCGGATGATGACGTCACGACTATCGGGTAATGACATCACAATGTGATAAAGCTAGTGGAGAACACGTGGAAGAGATAAGTCAAAAGAATTTAAGTCTTGGATTGTATCAATTGGATACCCAGCCAAGATGGAAGAAGTCTTGCCAAGGAAAGCAAATGGTTCATAGTTCAATTCCCACCTGAAGCGATTTTATGATTTCATGATATACAATGGAACGTGATACATGGTCCATGATACAAGGTGGAACATGATAGCTAGCTCATGATATGAAATGGAACATGATATATATGGTCCATGATACAAGGTGGAACATGATATATATGGTCCATGATACAAGGTGGAACATGATATATATAGTCCATAATACAAGGTGGAACATGATATACTATTGGGACATGACTTCATCAAAAGGAGCTATGACATCATGATAGAATTAGACAGAAACATTATTTTGAAGCTCTGTTTCTGCAGAAGAAGTCGAAGGAGAAGAAGAAGCTGATATACGAAGGAGATCTTTTTAATACTCAAGCAAGAATCAGCAGATAAATTATTTGATCAACTTGGCACATCAGATCAATAATTCAACAAAAGTCATGCCAGAGAAATTCAAATTTGGAGGCTACCCATGCCAAAAGAAAAAGCTTTGTCAGATTAAAGAGGAGCAACGGCAAATTTATTTAAATCTTCTGACAGACGGCGAAATGATTTTTGCAGACCAAGTTGGCAAAATTAATTGATCAACTACAATTCAAAATGGATGATCGAGATTGAAAGTTGATCAACGGGCAAATAGCTTTCATCTGCTATAAAATGCCCAAGCAGACTTGAAGACAAGCACGACTTGCACGACTTGAATACGGCTGAAAAACAAAGAGAAAAGCAAGCAATATTCAAATCAGCCAAGAAGCAATATATTGAGCTATACACGATTAAATTCAAGTCTGAGTGAGAGAAATTTTTTATCTCTATTGTAAATCTTCTACTGAGTGTAGAAAAGGGGTAGAGTAACTAGGGAGAGTGAAAAACCCAGTTGGAGTGTAGCTTTGTGCATAGCACTCGGTTGTGACGGGCAGAGTAACAAGGGGAGCTTGTGAAAACCCGGTGAGAGCGTAGCTTTGTGCGTAGTTCTCGGGTGTAGGAGTACAGCTTGGTGCGAAGTACTCGGGAAGGCGGAGTAACAAGAGGAGCTTGCGAAAAACCTTAGTGGAGTGTAGCTTTGTGCGAAGCACTCGGAGAAGTGTCGTTGGGCACTTATTCACTATTGTATCTGGGTGATCGAAGAATAGTGAATTTCCTCCTTGAAGTGAAAGGAGAAGAGTGGAATAGGAGGATTACACCACCTCTGAACCACTATAAATCTCTCTCTCTATTTACTTACTGCTCATATATATTTCGTGCATGCCTATATTATCTGTGAACTAACCCGTTACGGTTTATTGCATATCTTTATCTGTCTGGGTTTTATAGTTCCCTCGTTTGCATGCAAGTGAAATTTTATATACATCATCCTACATCTATACTAAGTGTTTCTAACGTGATGCATGTATAAAATCTCTATTTGAGCACGACACAATTTAAAGCATAACACTTTGCCGTTACAATTCCGCTGTGCACACTCTAAGTTGTTATACTTGTTTATGCTTGTTACTTAGAGTTGAAGTTACAAAGTGTTGTTTGCAGAAGAAGTTTGAAAAAGTTAGAGAAGTCTATTCACCCCCCCCCCCTCTAGACTTCTCGCCACCCTTTCGGGACCAACAAGTGGTATCAGAGCAGTTGTCTATTTGAGTCATTTCTTGACTGCTAGGCAGATCTCGAAAACTTCAAGATGAAGAGAGATATGGTTCTTGCTCAAAATTTGTTTTTCTCACTTGATAAATTTGATGATTGGAAAATACGTATGCAGGTTCACTTATCTGCTTTAAATGATGAAATATGGGAAGTCATCACAAATGGTCCTATCCAAATTATGGAAGCTAATACCGCTACCCCACGAGATCCAAATGCTCCACGATATATTCCAAAGCCAAAAATGGAGTGGACAAAGGAAGACAGAGGACGAAATAACTTGGACAATATTGCCAAGGACATTTTGTTCAAAACGGTCGATGACACCATATTCCCAAAGATTCGAAAGTGCACCACGGCAAAAGAAATATAGGATACGCTCATAAGCATCGGTGAAGGCGACGAACAAGAAAAAGACAACAAACTAACCATCGCCATGAAGAGGTTCGAAGATTTCAAAATGCTACCGAACGAAAGCATCACCGACATGGAAGCTCGATTAATCAAAATACTTGGAGAAATCACGGATCTGGGAAAGACCATTACCCAGAAGGAAATATCGCTCAAAGTGTTACGCGGACTACCTACAAATTGGGATATGAAGGTAACCGCAATGCGCGATCATAGAGATCTAAGGACATTATCTACGGATAAACTCTTTAGTGATCTAAAGGCGTATGAGTTCGAGATGAAGAAACGAAATGAAGAAGATCGTGATGAACGAACATCCGCACTGATGGCCGAACAACCTTCCTCATCAAGGTCAGTCGTAAATAATGATTTTTTATCTGACGAACAATTTTCCTTATTTGTTAGGAAATTCAAGAAATTCATGCGAAAGAACAAAGGATCACCACAAGGAAATTCTTTTCGAGAGAATAGAAGATCAAGAAGGGAACCGTCGAAGATAACACAAATGTGTGTTACAATTGTAGAAAGCCTGGACATTTTATGGCCGAATGTCCACATCCCAAGGTGAACAAAAATTCGAATACTTCTAACTCTCCACAGGTTGAGTACAAGTCGAAAGAGAAGAAATTCAAAAAGGACAAACGAAAGGCACTAATAAGCGATCCGTTAGAAGCAAGTGAATCCGAAGAATCATCTAGTGACGAGAGTGATTCATCACAAGAAGATACGGCGCTACTATGTCTAATGGGCAAAACATCCGAACATGAGGAATGCTATATGGCGCGTGAAACCGACGAAGAGGTATCTTCTAGTTCTTTTAGTTCCTTTAGTTCCGTTGACACCTCTTTCGAGACTCAAAAATCTTTTCAAAGCCTTATGGAAGATTGTCAAAAAGTCATGGCCACTCATACTCAAATCAAAGAGCGCAATAATACGTTAATTCTTGAAAAGGAAGAAATGTCACAAAAATTGCAGAATGCTCTAAATGAAATGAGTAATTTGAAAGCCGAAAATGTTCGACTTCAAGAAGAGTGCAAAGCTAGAGAGGTTAGAGAACATAACCTTCGGGAAGTAATCGCATCATTTACGCATTCATCCAAAATAATGGATAAAATGGTAAACATGCAAAAACCCGCTGGAGATAAAGCCGGACTAGGCTATGATCCATCATGTTCTAAAACCCCTCAAAAGTTGACTAATTCTACTACTGCTTTAATTAATAAAGTTCCAGTGGTAAAATTTGTGAAAAGTCAACATAGCACAATGAGACAAGGAGTTGGAAACAAAATTAATGCCCAGAAAATTGTTGCAAGGCCGAATCAACACAATGATATCATGGCAAGACAACAAAATTTTAAAAGGCAAAAATTTGTATCTCAAAGGAGAACCAACGAGTCTAGTGCAATAAAACCTCATAGGAATATGGGAAGAAATCCGAGAATTGGGGCTGGGAGATTATATCCCTCAGAAGAAGATTGGTCGCTTGAAATCAAACCATGGACCAAGTCCTGATTTGCTCTATTTCATAGAATCAAGCAACTATCAGCTTCCCAACCCGCACCGAATCATTATTCGAAAGTGCGTTACGATTATAAAGTTTTTAATGGTTACAAATCACCTACTCTTGGATCAGTGGGATCTAGGTGGATTTGGATGCCAAAAATTACTAACACAAAAGGACCCAAACAAGTATGGGTACCTAAAAGAAATTAATCTTTTTTGCAGAAAGTTTGGTATTTCGATAGCGGTTGCTCTTGACATATGACCGGCAATAAAGCTAGTCTAGTTGAGTTCAAAAGTATCGAAGGACCAAAAGTAGTTTTCGGTGGAAACGATCGATATGGAATGACAAAAGGAACCGACGCAATTGTGAAAAATGGTCTACGAATTGATGACGTATCTTATGTCGAAGGATTAAAATTTAACTTGTTTAGTACAAGTCAATTTTGCGACAAAGGATATCTCGTAGAATTCTACAAAGGCAAATGTCAAGTCAAAGACGAATCCACGAAAGAAGTCGTACTCGCCGGATCAAGAAAGAAAAATATGTATGTTGTAGATTGGAGTACAACAAAAGATTCTGTATGCTTGATGGCAAATAATTCGAATGAAGCTAGTTGGGAATGGCACAGGAGGCTAAATCACCTAAATTTCAAAACCATCAATAAGCTTGCACAAAATAAGCTAGTCGATGGATTACCCAACATTGCGTTCAAAAAGGATCAAATATGTGACGCATGCCAAAAGGGAAAACAAATCAAGTCATCATTCAAATCCAAAGCTCAAGAGTCAACATCAAGACCTCTAAGCCTACTGCACATGGATTTATTTGGTCCAGTAGACCCAGTAAGTATAAGTGGTAAGAAATATACTTTGGTTGTTGTTGATGATTTTTCTAGGTACACATGGACAATATTCATCAAGAAAAAGGATGAAGTCTTATAAAAGTTGCCAGAGCTATTAAAGCTGCTACAAGTCGAAAAAGATATGAAGATTGCAACAATTCGAACTGATCGGGGAACAGAGTTCGTGAACGAAGTAATTCAATCATACTGCAATTCACAAGGAATTTTACATCAATTATCTGCCGCACGAACGCCGCAACAAAATGGTGTAGCTGAAAGAAGAAATCGAACACTCAAGGAAGCCGCACGAGTCATGATATCAGCCGCTGGTCTACCAAAAAGATTTTGGGCAGAAGCAATCAATACGGCGTGCTATACTCAAAATCGAAGTCTAATCCACAAGTCTCATAACAAAACACCATATGAATTATGGAAAGGGAGAAAACCCAATCTCACCTACTTTCATACATTTGGTTGTAAATGTTTTGTACTTGTTAATGGAAAGTCCCAACTAAAGACTTTTGACGAACGTGCAAACGAAGGAACATTCTTGGGATATTCATCCACCAGCAAGGCGTATAGAATATTCAACAAATCAACCATGGTGGTAGAAGAATCGATTCACGTTGTGTTTGATGAAAATCACGACAAAAATGGCAAAGAAGGTGAAGGTAATCGTGATTCAATTATTTCTAACGATATGTTGGAAGATAATGTGTTGCAGGAAGTAGAAGAATCAAGTGATATGGGTACTCACCAAATTGAGGCAATATCCAATGTGATACCCGAAATATCACGCACACCTACAACCGAAATTGCATCCAGAATTCAAGAAGAAGGAACTCCAGTAGATGAACCCGAAGATGCACCCGTCAACAATTCACAACAAGTATTCCAACAAGAAGGAAACTCTGAGAATCCAACAAGTTTCCAACCAAATCGAAAATGGCTAAGAAGTCACACACATGACTTAGTCATTGGAAATCCAAGTGACGGAGTAAAGACGCGATCATCTACTAGGAACCAACAACAAGATGCAATGTTCTCATGCTTTCTATCACAACTGGAGCCAAAGGAAATTGACGAAGCATTAGCCGATCCAAGTTGGATAGATGTCATGCAAGAAGAATTAGATCAATTCAAGCGCAACGACGTATGGGAACTTGTTCCAAGATCAACGCACCAAAATGTAATCGGTACCAAATGGGTCTTTAGGAACAAAGCAAACGAAGATGGCGTTATTGTTAGGAATAAAGCAAGATTAGTTGCGAAGGGGTATTCACAAGAAGAAGGCATTGATTTTGATGAGACATTCGCCCCCGTCGCACGACTCGAAGCAATCCGGATATTCCTAGCATACGCAGCGCACAAGAATTTCATCGTATATCAAATGGACGTAAAGAGCGCATTTCTCAATGGCTTACTTGAAGAAGAAGTTTACGTCGAACAACCACCCGGTTTTGAGGTTCGATATGAGTATGATGGGAGAGTTAAATTACTTTTTGGGACTGCAAGTCAAGCAACTTGAAGAAGGAATTTTCATAAATCAAGCCAAGTATACAAGAGATCTTATCAAGAAGTTTGGCATAGTTGGAAAATCCTCAGTCAAAATTCCCATGAGTACATCTCAAAAATTGGATAAAGATGATGAAGGAAAAGGCGTCAATCAAACGATGTATCGAGGGATGATTGGATCGTTACTATACTTAACCGCAAGCAGACCGGACATATCCTACTCGGTTGGCGTATGTGCAAGATTCCAATCAAAGCCCAAAGAAAGTCATCTGATTGCATCCAAGAAGATAATTCGATATCTCAAAGGAACAATCAATGTGGGATTATGGTATCCCAAAGAAGGTGATTTTACACTAACTGGTTATTCAGATGTAGATTTTGCAGGGTGTAAAATAGACCGAAAAAGTACCTCAGGGACATGCCAGTTCTTAGGGGGAAGATTGGTCTCTTGGTTCAGCAAGAAACAAAACTCCATAGCTACGAGCACTGCTGAGGCCGAATATATTGCAGCTGGGAGTTGTTGTGCACAAATTTTGTGGATGAAGCAACAATTGTTGGATTATGGGATTAAATGCGAAAATGTTAGTATTTTATGTGATAATACTAGCGCAATTGCAATAACCCAAAATCCTGTGCTCCACTCGCGAACCAAACACATCGACATCCGACATCACTTCATACGAGACCACGTCGAGAAGAAAGATTTGAAGATCGATCATGTTCCCACAGAAAATCAAATTGCCGACATTCTCACAAAACCGTTGTGTGAATCTCGTTTTGCAACTCTAAGGCACGAAATGGGAATGATCGAAATGAGCAAAGTATTTCGAACTTTTTAATTCGAAAATATGTGTACGTAATTTTGCATGAAATTTGTTACCTATGTGTCCTACGTGATTTAATTTAAATTAATGTGTTACAATTTATTTGTGTACATGTTAGTAATTTTATCTTACGGACTTAGGTACGTAGAATTTGGTTATCTGCTATTAAGTTGTGTAAGGGTTAAGTAAGGGAGAATGCTTCTTGGGAGAGATATAAGATTTAGGGGGAACATGCTGATAATAAGCCATACTTGATTTCAGTGTGCAAAGTGATTTGACAATATGATTGACCATCCTATTTATGATACACCTACTTAAGTCAATTTGATGAGATTTCTTTTTAGAAATATATCTGATATCATTTTTGGTCTTATCTGTTTATATTAAATTTATTTGTCGCTCAATTTTATCAGATGTCGAAATTAAATTGTTAAGCATGAACAGATTTATTGCACTAACAATTTTGTGTCGAAGAAATTTTTGCTCCATGAACATCTACAGGTGGCAGGGAATTGAAGCTTAATTTTTGGCGCAATGTACCCACAAATGGAGTATTAAAATCTGAGCTGGCAAATTTAAATCAGTGAAAGTTCGAAGATGCCCTCAATTGTTCTACAATTTCTCTCATTCCACTAAAGGGCAAAATGGTAATTTTGCAAAGGCATTTAATTTGCCTCCAACAAGAAGAAGAGGAAGATAGAAGATCATCTCCTTCTTCCTCACGCCGGCGCACACATGCAAGAAGAGGAAAAAGCTTGAAAATCTCTCAAATCAAACCTACCCACCCCAAATTTCCCACAAAAATCCTTTCTACACACAAATACCCACTACCCACCCTCACCATTGTCCTTGAAACCTCTCTCAACCAAAAACCCATTTCCTTCTACCCACATTTTTCGGACTGCCGAAACACCTACCCGAAACCCATCTCAAAATTTCCTAATTTTTGTTCTATCAAGATGGAAGGAGCTCAAAACCCAATTGGAGCAGAAGGATCGAGGAAAATCACACGGGTGATTCGAGGGATGATCATGGACCTTGAGGACTACAACAAGTTTATCCAAAACAAAGACTTGGGGGTAAAAATCTTAACCTCTCTTGAAAGTAGTGGGTTATTGAAGTTTTGCTCTTTCAAGTATGATGGTTTCTATTTGAATGAAGTAGTAGAATTTTATAGACACGCATTTGTCGAACATGGTGTTATAAATTCTACTGTTGGAGGTGTTTTGTTGAAAATTGAGTTAGACGATGTGAGAACTCATTTTGGATTGGAGGAAAAATTGTTGAAAGTTGAAGATCACGGGTTTGATTTAAATAATTTTTGGAGTGAAATTAGACACGAAACCGCACAAGACGAGACGTGTTCTAATGGCTTTAAGGTTATGTTGAAGCACGAATATGGAATGCTACTTGATATAGTGCATAAAACAATTGAGTGCAAATATTCTAGTAGAAATTATTTTACTAAGAAAAATTTGCCTTTGATGCATGCCATTGTGAATGTTGTTGCCGTAGATTGGGGACGGTTTGTATATGGCCGAGTGGTTGATCAAATTAGGCTAGCAAAACCATTGGTGAATGGATGGTTTCCTAATGACATTGGCTACGGTTTTGTTGTTGGGAAGTTGTTGAAGTTGAAAGGTGTTGCCCTATCCAAATCAAAACCCATACAAAACCAAAATTATCTTTTTCGAACCCCAATCCTGGTTGATCCTTCCCTAGCCAATATCCGAAAACGAAAACCGGCAAATGCATCAACCCATTCCTTAGCCAAAAAGCCTCCTTCTAACCGAGCTACTAGTCACGGGGAATCCAATACTCATGGAAGGGGTAGTGATGATTCTTGTAGCCATCAATTTGTTACCATACCCATACCCGTAACCCACACCCCAAACCCGAATGAAGAAGTGGTTTTACCAAGTAAAGTTGGGAGTGTAGATGACATTCCAACTTATGGGGCAAGTAGTGAGTTGATGAAAGAGTATGAACGTGTGAAAGTTTGGAGAAATTGGAGATTAAGTGATCATAATTCGGTTGCTACGACAATAGGACCAGATACTCTAGAGTTGGAGGAGTTTGCCTTACAATGGATTGGAACAAGAAATCTTGCTACCGCAACTAGGCTTTCGGTGATTAATGAGTGCTTTGTTAAGAAAGTTGCCATTAGTCGGGGCAAGGAAGTGGCTCAAGAAGTTCCCGAAAATGCCGTTGAGACAATAGATGGATTTGCTCGTGATGATATTGCCCGAGCATTGGTCATTTCTAGAGAAGAAGTGCACGGCACACATGGGGAAGCATCACATTTGAAGGAGACCGAAGGTGGAAGCTTGCAAGAATTAGACCCATTTCCTTCGAATATTGGGGATGACAACCTTAGTTTTGATGCTATTTCACCCCACACGGCTACGGATGTGACGAATTCAGTGAATGAAAATTTGGAAGCAAATGTTGGTGATGAAAGCCGAATGGAGGAACAAGAAAATGTGCTACAAATTGAAGTGTCACTAAGCCGTGCCGAACCAATTGCCACTACTGAACCACTCATTCCTACAATTGACGAGCCCTTGTGTCTTGAGGATACACCTTACGTGGAACCACCGGAATCATCCATGCCGAGACAACCACGAAAGGAACCACACAAGGAGGTACATTCTACTCCCATTGATATTAATGCTTTGAAAGAAAATATTATTGGGGATGTACGAAAAGAAATTCAAAAATTAAAAGGAGATGTCTTTCAAGAGTTTGAGAAAGTCCAAAATCAATTTGGTAATGTTGATACCAAATTAGATGATTTTCACAAGCAAGCTTATGAAAGGGCCGAATCCTTGTTACTTGGACAAGGATCAATCCAAGGTGATATGGCCACAATGTCTACTAAGCAAGAAGAGCGTAATAGGGAAGTCTTGAAGATGTTCCTTGACTTAGGGAAGAAAGGAACGGAGTGTGAATCGAGGCTACGATTGGTAGAAAACCAATTGAAGGCTCTACTACATCAAGTTGACGTGAACAATGATCTTTTAATTGGAGTCCAAAAGAGCCAAGACAAAGCTTCGGCAAGTTTCCAACATTATGTGGATGCTGCCGAAAAGGGGGAAAGAGCTAGAGGTGCCCCAAGTCATTTGGTGAACCATTTGATTGGACCGTCATCACAACGGCCACTAGTTGAACTTGTTCGACCTCCAGGAGCACCGAGAGGAGTCACACCCACACCGAGAGCTCAAGGCTGAGGAAAAAGGAGAATAATGGATTATTTGATGACCCCTCAAAGCATGGATTTTCCTAGCCAACAAGGATGCCAAAGATCAACACCTTCAAGATCAATTTATGAAGAAAACAAGTTGAAGCTTATACGAGAGTTGGAGACATTCTTTGGGCACACAAGCAACGAAATGGTGGATGGAAGATCATTTGAAGAATGCGTTGCTTGGTACCAAGCCGGAGTGTTACGGGGTGACAATATTCAAGAAGCTTATGGAAATTATGTTACCGAGCAAGTCACCGCACCATACCAACTCGAAGGAAAGAAACGAGACTTCAAGGAATTAAGGGCACACGTGAATGCCTTAATTGGCAAGAGGTAAAATTTTGAAGCCTCAATTTTTGGTGTACATAATAGCTAGCTTGTTCAAATTATGCTTTTTGGTACATTATATAAATTGCTAGCATATGGTTTATTTCTTTACTTTGTCTAGTATGTTAATTGCTTTAAAGTCTCAAGATTTTAAATTGGACTTAGTAATTGCATGTGAGGCGTATAATTGAGAAAATAAAATTGAAAGGGGGAAGAAAAATTAAAAGATAAAAATCAATACGCAACCCCGCGTTATAGTCTCAATATACGTTTAGGACCGTCCAAAATTAAAATCTCTAGGTCTTAAATGTGTTAAACCCGTCAAATGGCTAGTCGCAATAAAATTGGACAAAAAGATTATTTTTCAAAAATTTGACATAGCCAAATGACTTGGGTATAAGTTTCGGCATCATCAAAAAGGGGGAAATTGTTAGGAATATATTGTAGAAGTTTTGATGAGCCAAATGTATTTTGTAGACCCCAATTTTATTTTATTTGAGTAAGTTCGGTTCACCAAGTATAGTGCACCACTGCCATGAAGCCTACATGAAGTCTACGAGAAAGCAGCATTGAAAGAAGAATAAATGAAAGCGGGATCATAGCTTAACAGATTTATGAAGCATCAAGTCACCAAAGGTTGAGATGGACGAGATGGTAAAAGACTTGTTGAAGCATGCCTAATGTAAGATGATCTACAGTTTAATTCTCATTGGAAGCAATTTTAGTGTAAAGATGAATTGCTATCGTGAAGTAGCAATATCAGGAGATGATGTCATCATGATAGTAATATCAGGTGAAAGAACATTTTTTATCGTGATAGTTGAGAATTATCGGATGATGACGTCACGACTATCGGGTAATGACATCACAATGTGATAAAGCTAGTGGAGAACACGTGGAACAGATAAGTCAAAAGAATTTAAGTATTGGATTATATCAATTGGATACCCAGCTGAGATGGAAGAAGCCTTGCTAAGCAAAGCAAATGGTCTATAGTTCAATTCCCACCTAAAGTGATTTTATGATTTCATGATATACAATGGAACGTGATACATGGTCCATGATACAAGGTGGAACATGATAGCTAGCTCATGATATGAAATGGAACATGATATATATGGTCCATGATACAAGGTGGAACATGATATATATAGTCCATAATACAAGGTGGAACATGATATACTATTGGGACATGACTTCATCAAAAGGAGCTATGACATCATGATAGAATTAGACAGAAACATTATTTTGAAGCTCTGTTTCTGCAGAAGAAGTCGAAGGAGAAGAAGAAGCTGATATACGAAGGAGATCTTTTTAATACTCAAGCAAGAATCAGCAGATAAATTATTTGATCAACTTGGCACATCAGATCAATAATTCAACAAAAGTCATGCCAGAGAAATTCAAATTTGGAGGCTACCCATGCCAAAAGAAAAAGCTTTGTCAGATTAAAGAGGAGCAACGGCAAATTTATTTAAATCTTCTGACAGACGGCGAAATGATTTTTGCAGACCAAGTTGGCAAAATTAATTGATCAACTACAATTCAAAATGGATGATCGAGATCGAAAGTTGATCAACGGGCAAATAGCTTTCATCTGCTATAAAATGCCCAAGCAGACTTGAAGACAAGCACGACTTGCACGACTTGAATACGGCTGAAAAACAAAGAGAAAAGCAAGCAATATTCAAATCAGCCAAGAAGCAATATATTGAGCTATACACGATTAAATTCAAGTCTGAGTGAGAGAAAATTTTTATCTCTATTGTAAATCTTCTACTGAGTGTAGAAAAGGGGTAGAGTAACTAGGGAAAGTGAAAAACCCAGTTGGAGTGTAGCTTTGTGCATAGCACTCGGTTGTGACGGGCAGAGTAACAAGGGGAGCTTGTGAAAACCCGGTGAGAGCGTAGCTTTGTGCGTAGTTCTCGTGGTGTAGGA